ACACCGGGAACGCCGACAGAAACGTCAAGCGGTGTGTGCAGCGGTGAATTCTGCAGGTCGTGCCGACAGCCGTCCATATGCTACGGTATCGATTGAAGGCAGAGAATTTACCGTAGAGGCGTAGCAACAGGAGGAATTACAGCGACTCATGGCCCAATTCAGATCCTTCGAGGAGCACGGTCTGGGTAGGACGCCAGTGGAGTAGCACCACATTCAGTTGTCGGAGGGGGCACTGCCAGTGAAAGAGCGTTTTTATCCCGTGTCACCGGCAGTGCAGACGCTATTGTTTGCAGAAGTCGACGAGATGCTTCGGCTAGGGGTGATCGAGCCAAGTGAGAGTCCATGGAGCAACCGAGTGACTTTGGTGAGGAAGCCTGGAAAGAACCGGTTGTACTTAGACGCGAGAAAGCTAAATCAGCTCACGGTGAAGGATGCTTACCCACTCCAGAGTATTGAGTCAATTTTGAGCCGAGTGAAGGATACCGTTTACATCAGCAGTCTGGATTTGAAGCATGCTTTTTGGCAGATCGGGAAAGCCGGCAGTACACCGCGTTTACGGTACCAGGAAGGCCACTATACCAATTTAAGGCCATGCCGTTTTGGCGGCGCAGCGCCTTTGCCGTGTGATGGATAAGGTGATTCCCCAGCGTTTGAGAAGCCATGTATTCGTCTACCTGGGCGACCTTTTCATCATATCCAGAGCAATTGAGGATCATTGCAAGGTGCTGTTGGACGTGGCGAGTGCGTTGAAAGTAGCCAACTTGACGATTTCCTTTAAAAAATCCAAGTTCTGCTACAGGTACTTGAAGTATTTGGGGTTTGTGGTTGGCGATGGTGCGTTGCGGACTGACCCAGCGAAAGTCGAGGCGATTCGGGCGATTTCCTTGCCGACCAGCGCGAAGCAGCTCCGCCGATTCTTGGGGACCGCGGGCTGGTATAGGCGTTTCATTCGGAATTTTTCTACGATTTCCGCGCCGTTAACGGACTGCCTCAAAGGGAAGGGAAAGTTCCAGTTATCGGGCGAAGCGGTTGCGGCATTCCAGGAGTTGAAAGGGGCACTCACCTGCGCGCCAGTGTTGGTGCATCCAGACTTTCGGAAGCCGTTCGTGATCCAATGTGACGCGAGCCAAGCGGGCATAGGAGCGGTTTTGTTCCAGTACGATGCAGACGGGGCGGAAAGGCCGATAGCTTTCTTTTCAGCGAAGCTTCGGGGCGCTCAGCTAAACTATAGTGTCACCGAGAAGGAGTGCCTGGCTGCGGTAAAAGCGGTCGAAAGATTCCGGCCGTACGTGGAGTTGATGCCGTTCAAGGTGGTGACTGATCACGCCAGCCTGCGGTGGCTTATGTCGTTGAAGGAGTTGGACGGCCGATTGGCGCGGTGGTCGTTGGCCCTGCAAAGGTTCGACTTTACTATTGAGCATCGGAAAGGCCAGGACAACATTGTAGCCGATACGCTCTCGCGGCCCTTCGAACTCGAGGAAATTGATTTTTTTGATTTCGAGACCACCGAGTTCGAAAGTGCGGAGTATACCGAGCGGCTGAAACAGGTGCAGGAAAGCGCGGAACTATTTCCGGATTTGCGCGTGGAGGATGGGCTGTTGTATAAGCGGGCGCAGTTCACGCGGCCCGAGCGAGAGGAATTTTCCTGGAAGTTCTGGGTACCGCGTTCTGTGTCCGCAGCCCTTATACAGCAGGCCCACGAGAGCGACGCGACCATGCATGGGGGCATGAAGAGGACCATAGAACGGCTCCGGCAGTTCTACTTCTGGCCCGGGATGATGGCACAGGTGAAGAGGTACGTGGCCGGTTGCGAGACGTGCAAAGCGACAAAACACAGCACGCAGTTAGCGAGGCCGGTGATGGGTGCCGAAACCGTATCGCTTCGACCTATGCAGAGGCTATATCTAGATTTTCTGAGGCCGTATCGGAGGTCCAGGAGAGGGAATACCACCATCCTGGTAATTCTAGACCATATGTCCAAATTCGTGTGGTTGCGAGCGATGCCAAAAGCAACAGCGGCGGCAGTGGTCCGGTTTCTGCAGGAGGAGGTGTTTTCTGCATTTGGAGTCCCGGAAACCGTCCATACCGACAACGGGAAGCAGTATGTGTCCAGCCAGTTTACGGGGTTCCTGCAGGGGCTGGGCATCACCCTCGTACGCACGGCGAACTATGCCCCACAGGCCAATGCGGTGGAACGCGTGAACCAGACGGTGCTAGCGGCCATCAGGACGTATGTACAGGGCGACCACACGAAGTGGGACGATAAGCTCTCGGATGTGCAGTGTGCAGCACGTAGTGCCATCCATAGCAGCATTGGCACGTCCCCGTACTTCGTTTTGTTTGGATGCACATGTTCACCAGCGGGAAGGACTACAAGCTGGCACGCAAGTTGGGAGCACTGGAGGACACAGAATTGCGCATGTTGCCCATAGCGGATCAGCAGAAGACAGTGCGGGATGAGGTACAGCAGAGTGTCCACCTAGCGTATGAAAAGGCGAAACGGCAATACGATAAGCGTGCGAGGATGGTTGCGTACGTACCTGGCCAAGAAATTTACAGGCGAAACTTTGTCCTCAGTCGATTTAAGGACAAGTATGTGAAATGCCGTGTCCGGAGCAGCGTGGGCAACAGCCTGTACGAATTGGAGGACATGCACGGGCGTCGGCTGGGAGTCTTCCACGCCAAAGATTTGAAGCAATAGCAAAGGCCTGGCTTTGTTCGTCGGTAGACCGAGAGACCCATCGCAAGGTGTGGGCGTTGGCCTACGTTGGGCAGAAGAGGAACCGCGGCGCTTTCCACTCCCGTTTCTTTTCAATTTGCACAAAAATAAACCGGAGTGTGTTGTTATGTGCGACGCGGCAGTATTGGGAAACCTCAAATGGCATAAGACGAAGGGGATGGCAACTCGCGCGATTGACAGCTGGCGCGGGCTGATACCGAGTACTCGTGCGTGAGGTGCGAGGACCAGTGCTACCAATTAGGAGGGTTGCAAAGTGGGGAAAGTAGCATCGGGGAGAAGGGAAATTATCGGTTCCATGAAGAGTGGCCGGCCGTGCCCTTTGTCAAGGGCAGAAGGAAAGCGAAAGTGAAGGAAGTGACAGCCAGAAAATTTTCAGGCGCAGAAAAGTGTGGAAGTGACCGAAAATATATACATCAGTGGTGCAAATTGGAGATCCAGGAAAGGGGAAAGGAGAGTTTAGACCCAGGTTGTACATGCAGAGGAAAAGGAGCAGAGCGCAAAAACAGACGAGGTAAGGGGCACAGAAAATGAACCAGGCGCAAGTACTAATGGTGCTTTATTCAGTCCACCAGGCTAGGGGAGTGAGAGTGGGGGCAAGTCGCCAACGTTCGAAGAGGCAAGTCGCCAACGTTGTACGGGACAAGCCGCCAAAGCGGATGGGGCGTACCGGAGGAACTGCGTGCTGGAAGCGAGAGACTGTTTCTGGGCTAAGTACCCCCTTTAGAATCTAAGTTTATATGAATACTCCCACTGGGATAATTTAAAATTATATACATCACATACTCATACATATTCGATCCATAAACCCACGCATATGTACCATTCGAGCAAACCATAATTATATACAACCATACGCACCTAATCCATTTAATGTAAAGCCCATAATTATATAAAGCCCACCCCTCCATAGTCCATTTACATACAACAAACTCCAATATATAACACCAAAAGAAAATACACATGTATGCCATAGACAAAATTCAAAATACACACCCATTCATATACAAGTCATATAACAATACAATACAACACACAACACACAAAACAATTAACAATTTTCTGTTACACACATAGCCCAAACGATCACAACATAATATAAAACATTAAACAAAAACACAACACCAAACAAGTAACCATATTGTAAACAAAAATTCAAATGTATACTTAAAAAAAAAAAAAAAAAAAAAAAAAGTGAAAGAAAATGTATAAAATTTAATATAAGTAAAGGAGTTTGTAATGTGTATTGAAGCGGCGCAGTTTTTTTTTTGTTTATCTCCTGTTAATAATATCCCTCATAACCAAATACTCGAGTATAGGTAGAAAGAGGTTAGGAATTCAAATAAGTAAAATAGGCACAAAGAGCCAACGAACTGCAGCGTCCCAAAACTCAATGGCTTAAGTATAAAAGTCTATTTTTATTGTAATAAAATTTAAAATTTGAACATGAATCTGGAGTAGAGTCCATTTATGGGGTGAGATGGGGTGATAAAAGTCCCGGAGCAGGAAAAAAAAACCAAACCAAGCATGTTGAAGGGAGCCGGCAACAAAATGCCGAAACCGGCTCAAGGTAGGGAGGGCCACGCGGCTACATGACATCAAGGTAGCCACGACTCCACCCAAATTCCACAGGGGTCCCTCAGTCGACCATATGAGTAGGTGTGTTTAAAAAAAAATATAAATTCATTGTTGGTCTGCCGCACCCCTGTCGCGGTCGAATCTGACCCTGAGCCGATAGCTAGCCGGCGTAACGACAGGGGATGCACTGGCAAAGGCGGGCATAAAAAAATGTAATGTTCTATTCGGGCCAATGGGGCATCTTTATTGCTTGGTTGGTTTGAATGCTGGTTTTTTAAGTATACATTTAGTAATTTGCTAATTAAATAATATTTACATAGGATATGCAAAATATTTTTGATGCAGATTGTTCAGAAAACCTATAAGGGTTACATTCCAATGATTATTTTTATTTGCAAAAATGTGTTAGTGTTTTTAATAAAATCTCCTGGAAAAACATACAAGATTTTAAACCTCCAAAGAGTGTGAGTTGGTTTTAAGGCGAAACTTGGTGGGAAGACATTTCTCCTAAATGTACAAATTGTGATTTTCATAAATTCATACGGAGCCCACAATTTTCATTGAATATAATCGTTCGATTTAATACTTGTACCCAAACACAATGACTTTGGTCAAAACCAAAACTTATTCGTGAGCACAAAATCACTTTTATATACAGTCGATACACTTGTTATCGATATTTCTTACATCTCCATTATATTATTATTAATGCTTAACTTTATAAAATGGAGAGAAGTAACGCAATAAGTATAAAACTACGCAGGCAATCTCAAATCGCGTCAACGAAGAAAGTGGATTCGCCTATAGCTAAATATCCTTTGCAACTTAAATTTTTTCATAATGCATATGTGTGTATGTATGTATGTATGTACATAAATAAGATTGCACTTACATACATATGTACATATGTATGTACAAATCAGGGTGTTTAAATAGAGCTTGTTGACACCCAGATGGTTTAAATTATGTATAATGTGAATGTGTATGCATGTGTATTTTAGTATCGCAGAACACTTCGTGCAGAAAAATAAAATAAAATTTTTGGTATTCCTCATGCGGATCCATTAACCAAACCCACTTATGCACAAAAACGTAAAAATTTTATGCCGATCGGGATTTGCTAATGAACACAGTACATCTACTAATGTGTTTTACATACATTCATACATATTAAGAAATACACTCTTTTAAATTGTTTTTTTCCTTAACCTTATACACACATATGACTCTGGTGGTAACTTGACATGCATTATTTGTAGAATCCCAATTAAGTCTGCAACCGTATGGAAGATTCATATTAACTCTAAACATCACAAGGAATCAATTAAGTTTGCAAAGCAAGAACATTGTGAACTCTTCAATAAACAAACTATCAAAGAATCGAAACCAATATTATTACACAAAAATGCACGCTTGAAACCAAAAAGCGACATAATTAACAATTCATTTTTGGAAACGAATGGTTCTCCGTTAGAAGTTATTGGATCAGTTGCACCGGCTCAGATATTACCAGAACAATTTTTTGATAAACAAACTGCTAGTGCGATTCCTGATTGCATCCAAGATGAGGAGTGGTCTCGCTTTCAACGTGAAATTAAAGACGCTGACACAGTATCAAATATAATTATAGCAGAGGAACAACAAAATTTTAATATTAAAAGACAAATAAAAGAAATAGATGAGCAAATTGAAAACTGGAATAGATTTATAAAATTAAATTATAAGCAAAATCTTTTAAAAAAACATAACCGAAAAGTCTACGACAATATCGAACCAAGCTCAAGTGAAGAAGATGGTATTGAAGAAACTTTGAGTAACTGGAGAGTCAAAAATTTGCAAAAATAAATAAAAAGTATTATTGAAAAATGTGTTTTTAATATTTAATGAATGTTTATTTTAAACCGAAACCGCGTGACAGTTTTCGAATCAAGTTGTGACTAAAAGGTTTGAAACAAATTTTTATACTGAATTTGTTTTATGGTTGAGGAAAAGGAAATCAATATATTTCCAATTTTCAAATTTGATTTTGTAATGGTTAGGTTAGATATGTGTATTATATTCCTCTCTCATAAAAGCTCTGGCGATATAACTGTCATTTGTCGGAGTCTTCCATTGATTGCATTTGGTGACGCTCAGAAAACTGTAGGCTTTATATCGCGTCTGGCATATTGGGCTGTTGGTGAAACGTTGCTTGTCCCCTTTAACCTACTCTTGCAGTATTATCTTTATGACCGCAGAATTCAGGTTAGGTTGAGAGAGGCGGTAGATATTGCCTTACGATGCCATCGCTGAAGAGCCTCAGCGTAGTGTCCTTGGTCCACTGTTCTATTCTATAACTACGGCAGAAACTCCAGCGCAGAAGGAGGAGGAATCATTTGCAGACGACATCTGCAACTTCTCACGTAAATGATTCAGAAACGTCTGCTACACTATGAGAAGGGACGATGGGTCTGCGGTATGGCAGAATGATCAAATCCTGCAGCAAGCCTAGGAAGCCACATACTTGCGCATCCTATTGGACCGCAGGCTTACCTCTAAGCCCAACATCATAGGAACAGTAGCAAACTGCTGGCCAAGCTAAACTGGCATACGGACTACTACTAGGTGCAACCACCATAGCAGTCGCTATAATCGGTTGACAATGCATCGCAACAGACTTGCAATCAACAAGAGAGAACGATATAGTCGAGCAAGCCCGACAGTAAAATACTATGTACCCACTCCCACAAAAAAAGAAACAAGGGGAGAAGCTAAAGTCAGGTTTCCCGACTTCAAAATACTCTGTACGTATGTATGTATATGTAGAATAATTATAAAAATTAAGAAAATTAAAAAAAAAAATGTGATCGATTTTACCTCTCTCGGTATTCGAACTCACGTAAAGGGTGTATAATTGCACATATACAAAACAATGAATGTCTATGCGCGTGTATTCGTGTCTGTGTAAACATGTTTGCAGTCAACCAAACAGCAATCAAAAAAATAAAAAAAACTCGTATAGCATACAATTCTGAAGAAAGTTATAGCCATAAATAAATTCGCTGGCCATGCTCTGCTTGCAGCGGTGCCGGCAGCGCTGTCCGCAGCTGTTGTTGTTATTGCTGCTTGAGTTCAACTTTGTGCTGCATACATACACGCATACAAACACGCAGAGACACGATTCTGATGTAAATGTATGCTGTCGAAACTGTACATGAACATGTCTTTAATTTAATTAAATAATTTAATGAATATACTTTTTTTAATTATTGAAAATTTTTATTTTTTCCTTTTTGGTGGGAGGTACAGGGTATTTAAGAGTTGAGCTTGCTCGACATTAGCATTCTTTTCTTGTTTCTGCCTGAATTCATGAACGACCATAGGTTAGGATAGGTAGGCGGGTAGTAAGGGTATACCCCTGACTCACTTAGGCCAAGATTTGAGTTGTGCTGCCGCATGGGAATGTGGAATAGGCCAATGGTCACTGCATGCTCATGAATTACATCCATCCGGGTGCTTGGAGAAATTTTCAATTATTCCTCGGCCTACTTCTGGCTAATGCCGATAAAGTTTGGAGGAAATAGGCTCCAAAAAACGCTGTCTTGTACTAAGTAGGCCCGAACAGTCGCAGAAGAGCTGAGTTACTGTTTCCTCCTCTTCCTCGTCCTTACAACTACGACAGAAGTCGTTGTGGTGGAGCCCAAGGCTGGCGGCGTGGACAGTAGCTTCTGCTAAGTTTGCAGAGCTCTGCTAAGCGTTTTTTTTTATTGCGAGTAGGCCACTTTAAACGAGTGTCATCCATCCACATTCGATTTGCAACCGCTTCGAAGTGGTTTCAGACTAATAGCTTGCAGCTGACCATCGGTATACCAATACGTTCCGTATCGGGAAGGATAGGGACAGTGGTACCGTGTCTTGTCAGCTCGTCGGCTTTCAAGTTTTCCTCTATGTCCCTGTGCCCTGGGACCCATAAGATGGAGACTGAGAACTATGCTGCCAACTCGTGAAAAGATCTGCGACAGTTCTGCGCTTTTTTCGAGTTAGATGAGACTGCACTTAGGGATTTGATAGCTGCTTGGCTGTCTGAATAAATGCAAATGTCTTTAATATCTGTGTCTACACTTAACTCAGTAGTGAGAGCCTCCTATACTGAATTCTTCGCCGATGCGAACCTCAAGCTTGAAACTATCAAGAAAGATTCGTACAGAATCGTTTGAGCATGGTGTCCTAAAGTCCATTCTTCCCTAGAGGGAATGATGGTACGGAAAGGAGTGGTGCTTAGCGGTCCCGAAATTGTAAGTTCAGCCTGTTGCTGAACTTTATATAACCTCTGAATGCGTATGTTTTTGGTGAGAGCCGGCCACGATATAGAAACTCCGTAGAGGAGAATTGGGCGAATTACCGCTGTGTACATCCAGTGAACTACATGGGGGGTCATTTTAGTCCGATGGGTTTTTTACAAGTGTAGAACGCGATTGCGGCTTTTCTCGCTCGTTCTTCGATATTTAAGTTCCAGTCCAGCTTCCTGTCCAGTATCAGGCTTACTATACTTTGCTGAGCGATAAGGGTACCCCGTTTAGAAAGTGGGATCAGAGTAGAGGAATCTCGTACTTCCTAGTAAAAAGAATCAACTAAGTTTTACTAAAATTGACGCTGAGTCAACTCGTCGTCCTCCATCTGGATTGTGTGCTGAGGACATCAGTCATGCGCTCTCACAGAGTCTGAGGAAATTTTCCTGAAAAAGATACGACTACGTCATCTGCGTAGGCAACAATACGGCAACCCTCCCATGCGTTCTAGGGACCGCAGCAGTGAGTTTACCGCTACGTTCCATGGGCGAGAGGACACCTTGAGGGGTTCCGCGACTCACATATCTGGATTTTCAATATTAGAGGCAATGGCATTTCTGGCCTTTTTCATCGACTCGCCAACTTGGAGAGTCCACCAGGGAGGCTTGAGTTCTTCCCTTGGCTTTCCGTCGGGGCATGATTCGAGTATAGCTGTTTCGCAAAGTATGGTAAACCTATCTACAGAGTTGAGGCGAACTTAACCCTGTCTGGGACTTGGGGGGGGGGGGTCCCTGGTATGGGATTCCCTAGAAGATTCGAGAAAGAAAGCCAATTGGTGCGTCTGGGGTTCCTAGTCGCAGTTGGTTTCACGTTTCTGAAAGATACTTCAAATTGAGTCTACCTATGGTCTGAAAACGAGTGTTCGGATGGAACTGTCTATTTTCTAATGCTATTGTAATGCAAATTGAGTCTACCTATGGTCTGAAAACGAGTGTTCGGATGGAACTGTCTATTTTCTAATGCTATTGTAATGCAAATTGGTAGTGCATAGTTCAAACTGCGAGCTTGGCGCTCAAGTATCGATTTCCGCTTATCGATACGCCCCCATGCGCCACCTATCAACAGCTGTTTTTACAAGATCCATGCTGCCGCTGCCAACTTCTAGGCTTCAACCGCAACTAACTTTAAGGAGTTGCTCTCTTCCTGGTGTGCGCTGGACCGACACGGTTGTGTTCTCCGCTGATGCGGATCATTTAAGCATCTCCATATGTGTAAATTAAATCTTTAAGTATTTGGGCCATCTGCCTGTTTTGATCGCCATTGAAGGCTAATAAAGTGAAGTAAAGGAAAGATGAGTTGAACGGCGCAATTATTTCTTTGGCGCTGCTGTTAATTCTTTGAAAGTGGGCCCTTCTCTGACAAGCGTCGAAGAGCGCCACTTCGCGCCTCCGCTATACAGATTTGTTGCTGCAGCCACTTCGCCAGCCGCCACGCTGCTGGTCCCTGCTGCTTTACACACCTGCCCGCTATTGTTTTGCGTAGCGAATCGCCAGTCACCGCTCGGCCAAAGGGACGATTTACGCTACACTATCATATAGCGTGTCTGAGACGACGGTGAGGTATAGAACCTGGCTTCAGTTCCCCAAAAGCAGGATCAGATCCCAAGTTGCATAGTAGTAATTTGGTCATTAGGATATAGTTGAAAAGTAACTCGCCCCGGCCGTTGGTGTCAGTACTGCCCCACTGAGTATGATGTGCCTTTCCATCGCAGCCGATTAGGAGGTCGATCTTTCTCCGTTTACTGTCCTCGATGACATGTCTTGTCCTCTGGAGAGGAGGGCCTCGTATGGCATGTAGGAGCGGTTTTTGGTTCGTCTCGATGCATGCCGCATCACACATCTGCAATTTGTCGTGCAATAAAAGCGGTCTAAGGGAGAATTACAGCGAGCACCCCAATTAAATACATTAAATGCAAAAATTGGACCTCGTGGTTTAACAGCTGCTGGTGACTGGTTTGCAAAAAGCTGGTTGTTACGGTCAAGTAGGAGCGAGGAGCGTCAAGTGGAATGCATTTGCCACAGCAAGACGGTGCGGAAGCCAAGAAGAGGCACCAGCAGCCATAGATCAGCACCCGCTTCAGGTGCAGCCCAAACCGCCGTCGAGCACTAGCAGCCGGAGAGCAGTAGCCGTGCCAGCAACAGCATTAGCGCCAGGAACCAGCAACCATACCTGTAGCGAAATCACAGAACCAGGTGCGGCGGAATGGATGTTACGATCGTGCGCCATAATAAAATACGATCTTCCTAACAGAATAGCTAGTCGGTATTTATCGATGAATCATCGATATTTGCAATCGTGCTTAAGTTGGGTGTCGAAGTGCTGCCCAGTCTTAGTGTTCAAAAGCTCTAATAGGTTATACGTGGGAAAAGTCATTGATTTGTGCTGCGAATGTCTAGCCGGGACATAGCTTTAGAGAGTAGTAGAAGAATTCCAAGACTCGCAGGGGGTAAAGGGCAAAAACATAATTTCAGTCAATTCCTAATTTGGTTTGAAATTTTGGGTTAAGTATGATTATTGTCTGGAAAATTTTATGAACGCACAGCTGAAATAC